GCTCAACCCGACCTGGCTTGCACTGTGTGTTTACAACTCTGACCATTTCCCATGTGACTTTCCCTCCTTTGGAAGGAGCTGACTGAGACTGGGACCATTCCTCTTCTCCAAAAGAAAGGCCCGCAGTATCACATGGTCAAAAGTCACTGAAGGTTGCAGCCGGCGCAATAGTCCAGTGGGAAGAGCACTCTCCCGGCACATGGCTGACCCAGGTTTGATCCCCAACATCCTAGCTGGTCTTCCGAACACCAACAGGAATAATGCCTGAGCACAGAGTCAGGAGTAACCCCTGGGCATCACCTGGTGTAGCCCCCAAACAAAGAAAAGTTTCACAGAAGAGTAAAGAATCCCCCCATTATGCAGATGAACAAACACGCAGCACAAAGTTGGCAGTGCCTTACACCTGTGTCTAGAGAACAGAAGAATGCATGGGAAGTAGAAAGCAATCTTCAGCAGAAAGAAAACCCTTGATTTGGGTGAGCACACACTTCTTTTTTTTTTAACTGAATCACCATGAATTGCAGAGTTACAACATTATTCATGATTGTTTCAGGTGGGCAACATTCCAACACCATTCCCTTCACTCGTACCCACTTCTCTCCACCCATGTCCACAGTTTCCATCCTGCCATCCAGCCTGCTTCTATGGCAATCACTTTCCACCTCCCCCATTGTCCTAGGGCTCCCTTCCTTGATATATTCCCCTCTACCCCAGAGGCAAGCTTTCTAATGAACACCAGTTCTCCTGCTCTTCCTTTCTATTGCCTTTGAACATTTGTTATTCTCCTATTATGTTTCTTTACATCCTACATATCGAATATGTCACGGGTAGCTTGCCAGGCTCTGCCATGCAGGCGAGATACTCTTGGTAGCTTGCCGGGCTCTCCGAGAGGGGCGGAGGAATCGAACTCGGGTCGATCATGTTGGCCGCTTGTAAGGCAAATGCCCTACTGCTGTGCTATCGCTCCAGCGCATTCGATATGCCAAACACAGTAACAACAAGTCTCATGATGGAGACGTTACTGGGCCCGCTCGAGCAAATCGATGAACAACGGGAGGACCGTGACCGTGACATCCTACATATGAGAAAAGTCATTCACTGTCTTTTCCACTACCTCTGACTAACTTCACTCAGCATGATACTCTCCAGATCCATCTACATAGTAGCAAACTGCATGACTGCATCTTTGCTTACAAGGGTCCTTTTCCCTTGTGTTTATGTATCATAGCTTCAGTATCCAGTCCTCTGTTCTTGGGCACTTGAGATGTTTCCAGAGTTTAGCTAGTGTGAGTAGTGCGAGCATTCATGCAAGCATTCTCCCATCCCAATGTGTGCAAGGTGCTATCTACATCTTTGCATGCATTGTCTCACTCCAACATGCCCATCACTGCTTGACAGGATGAGTCACTATTACTATCCTCCCTTTAGATGGAAAATGAGACCTAGAGATGACAGGTAACCTACTGCCGGAGCTAGTATATTTTCAGTGAGAGGATACTGACCTACTGACCTCAGAGTGCCAGCCCTTAAGATAACCCAACACTATTTTCCCACCAGGTCGCTGGGCAGTCTTTTGCTTCCATTTGTCCATGGCTCTGCTAGGGTCAGTCTGTCTCTAGTGTCATCAAGTTGGTTGAGGAACTAAACCCCAACAGGTACCAAAATGGCAACCACCGCATTTCTCATATTCAAATAATCTCACAGTATGAAGGGAAGTCAGATACTAATGTGAATATCCATGGCTGGAATATTTGCGGGGGGGTTGATTTGGGGTTTTTCTGTTTGGGTTTTGGGTTTTGGGGCCACACATGGTGATATTCAGAGATTACTGGCTCTGGACTCAGAAATTGTTCTTGGTGGTGCTTGAGGGACCATATGGAATGCCGGGGATTGAACCCGAGTCAGTTGCATGCCAGGCAAGTGTTCTACCCACTGTACTATTTATCGCTCCAGTTCCTGAATATTTTAATCCCCATAACCCCCATACCATCATTCACTAGCTCAGAGTTTGAATGTGCTCCATTGTAAAGTAAAGCAAGGGATAAAGTTCCTGCCTGCCCCATCTCCATGTGTGGTTACAAAATTCCAATAGGATGGAATGAGAGGAAGATCCTAAGAGCAAGTTAAACCTTCTGTGCTTGTTCACTGGCGCCTTTCCGGTAGCTCTGGTTCTTCTAGAGCAGAGGGTTTCGGGGACTACAGAATGGGATGCAGTTTGAATGAAAGTGCCATCCCAAGAACCACCATGGAGACAAAAGTGAACTTAGAGGCTGAAGTTCAAGAAAGATAAGAGTGAAGTAGTTTCTCCTCAGTGCTCAGTTTCCACACACATATTAGGTTAAACTTATGAGGACACAGAGGGACACAGGCACCAAATTACAGAACAAGAGTGGAACTGGGTAGTCAAATAACATCTGTCTCTTCAAACAAGAAAACTGAGGCACAGAAAGTAGTTAGAACATGTGGCAGGGTTAGCCCTCTGTATCCACAGAGCTGTCATTGCTCGAGCGGGCCTAGTAACATCTCCATTGTGACACTTGTTACTGTGTTTGGCATATCGAATACGTCACGGGTAGCTTGCCAGGCTTTGCCGTGTGGGCGAGATACTCTCGATAGCTTGCCGGGCTCTTCAAGAGGGGCAGAGGAATCGAACTCAGGTTGGCCATATCGGCTGCGTGCAAGGCAAACGCCCTACCCGCTGTACTATCACTCCAGCCCCATCCACAGAGCAGTAATTGCTAAAACACCATCTCTGCTGGACCCAGGTCTGGCAACAGCTGCCCTCTCTTTCGATTTGAACAGAAAAAGAGTTTGAATTTGGAGCTGGAGAGACAGTACAGTGGTTAACACACTGGCTTTGCCTTTGATCAATCTGGATTCAATCCCCAGCATCACATACGCTGAGTACCCCCCAAGTACCACCGGGAGTGATCCCTAAACACAGATGCAGAAGTCAGCCCTGCATAGAACCAGACGTGTCTCAAATTTTAATTTTTTTTTTGATTTTTAAATTTTATTTTGGAAAATAAAACCTGAGCTCTTAAATTAGGTTAAATTGTATTAAAAACTATGTTGATGGGGGGGGTGGCAGGAGGGAAACTGGAGTCACTGGTGGTGGGAAATGGACCCTGGTGGAGGGACGGGTGTTGGATCATTGTATGACTGAAACCGGATCATGAACGGCTTTGTAACTGTATATCTCATGATGACTCAATTAAAAAAATGACAAATAAATAAATAAAAACTATGTTAGAAATGTTGCTTCACTTTCTGCTTATTATCATCTGGGACACTACCGCTGCAAACAATCAGAAAATTCTCCTTTCAGACCCAGTGCCAACTGTCCCCACGCTAGACAGGAGACGCTGCTCTGTGATAAGCCTTGGGTGCAGAAGCAGACTCTCATATCCCAAAATGTGTGTGTGGGTGGCAGAGCACGGAGGACGGTCACCCACAGTCATCTTCCCCAGAACTCGGGATCCTAGCTGACTCCGAGTAGGTGACACATTTTCAGATGATAAGGCAATTCCTCCTAACGGCCAGCAGAGGGAAGGCTTCTGAGAAGAAGGCAACAGAGCAAGAAGTTGATCAAAAATGCTTCAGAACTCAGGCCCCAGGAGAGCTCCAGTTTCCCCAGGGCCAGGAAAGGCTGCGTCTGTCTGCGAGCCATCATCTCTTGGGACACGCTGACTCAGTGGCCACTGGACAATTTGTTCTAGGGCCCATACCAAGTCTCCACCAGTGGAAAATTAAAAAAAAAAAAAAACCTTCCAGCTCTCCTTACTCCTGTGGGTCACGGCTCACAGAGAACTGGACACTTCTCTGCCAAAGTGCAGCCTTCCTGACAGAAAGAAGGACATGAAGATATAAAGGGGGCAGCTTAAGGGAATGAGAGACCAAGAGATGCCTGAGGAGGAGCCAAAGGGAGAGATAAGAGATGAAGAGATAAAAGAGGCTCCAAGGTGCAAGAGCACAAGAGCCAGTGGGAGGGGAGGGGGAGAAGGAGGGTGGGTGCTTTGTGTAACGCTTTCATTCACCTCCACCTCCGCGCTGGCCACATACTCTCATTCTCCTCTCCGTGTGGGGCTCACTACCAAGCACCCAAGACACAGTGTGTAGGGGCTGGAGCGATAGCACAGTGGGTAGGGCGTTTGCCTTGCACGCGGCTGACCCAGGTTCGAGTCTCAGCATCTCAAATGGTCCCCTGAGCACCGCCAGGTGTAATTCCTGAGTGCAAAGCCAGGAGTAACCCCTATGCATCGCCGGATGTGACGCAAAAAAAAAAAAGACTCAACATGATTCTCCCACTCAAGAGTTGACAGCAGGTAAGCACAGGACCCCCTGCATTCATAATACACGAGGCACCCCGGGTTCAGCCTCTGCAAGAAGCACTTAGCAAATTGGCTTCCAAGAACATACTCCTCAGATTCCCTCACAGCACAGAGAGCCAGTCTGGGCCCAGAATCTATCACCATCGCTTATTTACTGTCAGTGACTTGCGCTCTGGGACACTGGGGGGCGGGGGGCGGGGGGGACGTGCAGAGCCCAGCCTCACACCCCACACTCGCACAAGACTCTCCCACTCACCCTGGCAGGCAGAAATCACTCCCAGCCACCAAGGGGAAATGGGTTTTGCAATGTAACATTCCCCCCCGAAGAAGTCTGCGGCAGATGGAAAGTGACATCATCTGTGTGTGTGCCCAGTTTATTTAGGCTGCGCCAAATTAAATCCAAATTTTCTATGGGTGGGAGGGTGGCCATCCGTGACCCCCCACTGCTGCATGCCCTTTAAACAGAGCTGAGCCAGGCTGCCCCGGTGGACCGGAGCAGGGGAAACTGGAGCTCCTTCCCGTGCTCAGCGGTAATTAGGTTAATGCTGGAACATGATGAAAGCCACCACTTGGCACCGAGGTATGGAAAAGGGGCCTCCCTGCTGGCGCATCCTCCAACCTGCCCGCGCATCCTCCAACCTGCCCGCCGTCACAGGCGGCTGCGCTCACCCTTTTTCCGGGCCTGGGCGATGACCTCGGCCGCACTCTTGCTCATCACCCTGGTGACGTACAGGGGGCAGTTGGTCTGGTTGGCGATGGTGATCGAGCGATTCACGGCTTCAGCCTCCACCTACAACAGAGCATCTGAATGTGAGAAATGGGCCCAGCGGACGATGCTCCATCAGACCCCTCCCTCCACCTTGAGGGGAGTGAAGCCATTGCAGCATCCTTAAGACCACATGGGAAGGGGTGTGACTTGCCCAAAGTCACTTAATACCGATTAGCTGTCATGACAGAGCATTCCTCCTGATCCCATGTTCACTGTCTATATAGGGAATAGATCAGTGTGTGTGTGTGTGTGTGTGTGTGTGTGTGTGTGTGTGTGTGTGCAGGAGGAGGAGGAGGTTCACAACACAGTACCAAGGACCTAACTCAGAGCCCTCTCCCATTTGAGCAATCTACCTAGCTCATTATTTGTCACAGGGGAAGTGTAGCGGGGAGGATTTGGGCCACACCTGGCCACACTCAGGAGCTACTTCCTGTCTGTATGTTCAAGGGTCACTCCCGGAAGTGCTCGGGGGACCACATGCATATAAGGACCAGAAGGGCCTTAAACCTAGTAATAGTTCTCCAGGCTCTGGCCCTTCTGCAAATAGGTCAGGATGGGTGATCATCATCAATCTGGAGACCATGAGAAATGCAGGTTCTCAGGCCCAAAGGGCCAGTAACCCTGGGCAGGAGACCCAGATAAGATGGGTAAACACACGCTAGGGAATGTTATCTTGGTAACGGCCGAGACCCACCAGGCACACACACTGCTTGCTTCAGTCTAGTGCACTTGCTCGGCTGGTCCTGGATGCCCATGGTCAGCAACGTGATGTTTTGTGCCACGCTCCTGTCAGATGCCCACCAGGGCTGCCAACATCACCCACGGACAATGGGTCTCACAGGGCACACTGCACATAGCTTCTGTGCATACCAAAGGCCTCTGTCTCTGAAACATGATGTGGCGAGGCCCAGCCTGGTACGGATTGTCCTCTGGCAGGAGCAGGAAGAGCTGATTTCATTAATATCTAATTCTTTCATTCCGGTGATTCGGCCAATGGTATTTCAAAGGCCCTAAGAGATTACTGCTAAGCACCTCCCCGGCTAAGACTTAGCTCCAGTTCTGTCTTTCGGAGGAATTAACCACTGAAGAAGGCGAAGCTGTTGGAACACGGTCGCCCAAGCCCACCTGCTACCTCCCATGTCCTGACAGCTACTGTAGCTTTAACTCTTAAAGAGGCCAGGGGCTGAGTTTAATCAGGGTTCTGGTCCACAGTGCCCCACCCCAAACTGTCCCCACTGCACCAGTGCACCACGGGTGTTCCAAAATGTTTACTGGGGAAAAAAAAAACAACAAAAGAGTTCATTTTAGGGGATTGGTTAAAATTAGACTCTTCCATAAAGAACTGCTATTTTTCACAAGAAATAACTGAGCCCCTGACTGAGTCATCTCGGCCAACCCAGCCCCTGCCAGAGCTTGGCCTAGACCTAAAGTTCTCTAATTGCATTAAGCGCTGATCTAACTTAATAAACCAAGACAGCTTCATTCAGATTGGCCTTTTGGGCATCCACTGTGCAAAGAGAGATGCCTCGAAATCCAGAGGCAAACCAAAAAGAGGCTCTTGAAAAAGCTCATTAAACATTGAAATGTTTTTAATTCCTGGAATAGCTGAGAGGTCAGCCCTGCCTGTCCTTGGCCCAGTTACAATGTCTCTGGCCTGAGCAGCAGAGGAGATGGGGGGGATTAGGGGGGAGCAGGGGGAACGAAATCACCTCAAAATTCTACAGCGTCAAAATACAGAGGATTTTTCCAGAATCCTCAGGACTTCCCAGCAGCGCAGGTAAATTCCCAATCCATCACCTACCCCCACACTGCAGGATCCATTTGTAACTATGGGGAGCTACAAGCCAGAAACAAGCACAGAGCAGGCAGCGTAAACATCCTCACCAGGGAGCAAAAGAAAGGAAGGTGTCAGGTCTACCCAGGCCCACGTAGAAAACCAGGCTTCCACCCTCACTGGGCTAGTTCCGCTCCTCCACTGGAAGGTGAGTCTCACTCCAGCCCTGCCCCACTCCCCCAAAAGGCCTGAGTGAGGGTCACCTAGGTACCAAACTCCAAGGTCACCTCGCGAACAGTGAAGGTGATTTAAATTCCCCCCTCCACAGCTCCCCAGAGCCCAGAGGAAGCTCCACTAGGCTTGTGTGTGTAAATGCGGACACTCACAAGGCAGACAGAAGCTGCCCTTCACTTGTTAGGCTCCGGGCTGAACTGCACTGCTTGAAAACAGTATGAAAATAGTGTCACCGTTTAAAACTATCATTTGCTCGAGACAGAGCTGACAGTGAGATGGGGGTCATTTAGCTCCGCTCTCTGATTTCAAAACCCAGGTCCCTGGGGTCCAGAGAGGGAAACAATCTTTGAAGAGTACACAAAGTGTCATCACACACAATAGTCTCAGGACACACCATGGTATCAGTAAAAAACAGCACACACAGCAATGTCAGGATACACAAGTGTCAGGACACACAACAGTGTCAGGACACATAAGGACCAGTACACACAAGTGTCAGGACACAGAGCTACTAGTATACACAGCAGTGTCAGGCCATAAAACGGTGTCAGTACACACATGCACCAGTATACACAAGTGTCAAGACACACAAATACTAGTACACACAATAGTGTCAGGACACACCATGGTGTCAGTAAACATCAGCACACACAGCAGTGTCCGAATACGCAAGTATCAGAACACACAACAGTGTCAGGACACACAAGTACCAGTACACACAGCAGTGTCAGGACACATAAGTACCAGAACACACAATAGTGCCTGGACACATAAGTACTACTATACATAGCAGTAACAGGACATACAGCAGTGTCAGGACACACAACAGTATCAGTACAAGTGTCAATGTAAGATCTGGCTTTCACAGCCCACCCCTCTACTCACACCTCCTATAAGTCCCATTAAGAAAGTTCCCTTCACTGCAAAGAATTTTTCATCTTCAAGTCCCCGCTCTCTTCCCAGACTCCAGCCTTCCTGCTGTCACTGGCTCCCAGGCCCAACACATTGCACCTGCCCCATCATCCCTTCCTTCCCAACCCATCCAGAAACGCTCCTCACAGGCACCACCTTCTCACTCACCATGCCCAGAGGGCCCAGCACCTTCTCAGCACTAACTGGGGCCCAGACACCCTTTGAAGGTGGGATGGCTTCTAGGTTTCTGCATTCTCTACCACCTCCCTTTCTATACAGAATATCCTGCAGGGTAAGCCTATGATTGGGTTGTGAGAAAAAGAAAAAAAACAAACAAACAAACAACTGGCAGGACATGGTTCCGTGCACTAGAAGCAGTTAGCCATGAGGACACCAGCATCTGATCCGGAAACCGTCAGAGTTCTCATCTGTACATGAACTACGTCATCGTCTGTACTGGCAGAGGCAACCTCACTAGCCTGGGAAGTTCAAGTGCCCTCAGTGTGGTCCTGTTTCCCCTCTACTAATAAATAAGGTTGAACACAGAGAACCCTAGAGACAAACAGAAAAATGTTCACAGTGGCAGAGGGAGAAGGCGCCGGCTGGTGCCTGGGGCTCTTGAGGCCGTGATAAGGATGAAGGTGCTCAGAGAAGCAGCAAATCCAGTGAAGCAGGTGCCTCTGAGTCAACTGAGAAGTGGAAGACTCTGGAAAGCAGATAAAGGAGCGAGCTCCATGCCATGCAGCCTTTCATGAAGGCTTTGCAGAGTCCAGAGTGCTAACCATCACACCACAGAACTGCTCAGGAGACACGAAGGTTTTACACAGCATGAAGAGCTCCTGGGAGCACTCCTGGGTCTGTCAGCCCCTGAAGGAACTGCTGGGGGCTCCTAACTTCTCAGTGTAACGACTCTCATGAGACATCTCCTGCCTCTAATCCAGGAAAAGCAGAAAGTCTCCTGAGTGTAATCCAGAAACACTTTAATTTCTGAGGTCAGAACAGCTCTCCTCTGCAAGCCTTTGCTGTTGCGTGAGGCCCAGGTGGGGCCGCTGTGCTTTCAGCTCTGCAGAGACCTGGGGGACAGAGCCACCAGGAGGAAGGGAGAAGCAAGCTCCCAGAAGGGGCCCCGTGTGACAGGGTGAGTGACATCTGCTCTCCTCGGAGTAGTAGTGAGCACAGGGCAGATTTGGCTCCCCCACCATTGACCAATGAAGCCCTGTCCTGGGGCGACCACCGCATGGCACACACCACTGGCTCTGAGCTCACGGGTGGGTGTAGGAGGAAGGACAATGCACACAGTGTACACGTGTGCGTGCACACCTGGTAGGTGGGCAGGAGATGTTGGGGAGCAGGCTAGGCCCAGAAACTTCCAGCTCCCCAGTCTGGGGAAGTCTGACTTTAATACAAGTACCTCCACAGAAGACCTCTGGCAGTGGAAGTCGGGAGGATCCCAGGTACAGCCACACAGCTCATGTGAGGGTGTTCCCTAGAACTGTGTGAAGGAGGCTCTGCTGTGTCTCCCTCATATCCATTACCAAGCGCTGTGGAACTGTCATACAGAGTCCGGTACCCAGGGTTGTGCAGGAAACTCCACCTCTGAATATTGGACAAAGAAAATCCACAAAAGCCACATCACCCCTCCATTTCCCTGACTCCTTGTGGCAAGAGGCTGGTAGCGCAAAGACTCGGGGCAGAACCAAGAAACTCTCAGGAAGCCTGAGGCCCTCAGAGCTGGTGCTGGCCTTCCCACCCCAAGAGGTTTATCCAGGATATTGGTTAAAGTAGGGAAATGAGGTGCAAGAGGAAAACAAAGCACCAGAAAGCAATCTTCTAGTATCTGGGCCAGAAAAATAGTATCTATACCTGTGTGGGCATATATTTATGTTTATACACGTGTGGGGGGCATATAAAATCAGTTCTGAGACTCTCTCTCTCTCTCTCTCTCTCTCTCTCTCTCTCTCTGACTGTCTCTATCTCTGTATGTCTTTCTGTCTGTCTGTCTGTCTGTCTGTCTCTCTCTCTCTCTCTCTCCTCCACATCACTGGCCACCACCCTCAGTCATAGCATGGGGCTCTTAGCAGCTAACATAGAGGCCTCCACCTCCCTCAATCTTGTGCTGGCCCCAGTTCAGTCTTCTACTCCCCTCAGACCACATGGAAAGGCTGGCTGTTCTTGGGGGGCCTGTATGTCCATGGCCCCTGGAGACAAAATTCGGAATTTATTACCTTCATCTGCAGAATGGAAAATGTCCTTGGGGCCTTAGATGGTACTGTAGGCACCTGGTGTGTTCATGTCTCTGCATATGTGTGTGTGTGTGTGTGTGTGTGTGTGTGTGTGTGTGACTACCTGTATGCCTGTAGGAGCACCTGTGCATCTGTATGTGTGTCTGCACGAGCATCTGATGGGTGGGTCTGCATGTATACAGGAGAATTTATGTCTGCAGCTCTCTGTGTGTCTGCCTAAGCATCTGTGTGTATTCTGCGTGCATGTCTGTGAGTATATGAGCATCCATACGTGTCTGCGTCTATATGAGCATCTGGTGTGTGAGCATCCGTGAGTGTGCCTATAAAGTGCCTGTATGAATGTGTCCGTATATGCGTCTGTGTGTCTGCACACCCATCTCCCTGTGACATGTATCTGCGTGTCTGGACGAGGTCTGTGTGTGCGTGTGTGTGTGTGTGTGTGTGTGTCTGTACCTGTATCTGTTCATGTCTATTTGAGCTTCTGTATGTCTGTGTCAACCTGTACACATATGAACATCTGAATGAATGTGTCAGTATGTGCATCTGTGTGTACACATTTGTATGATGTGTGTGTGTAAAGGACATAGTGTCGCATGTATGCCAGATGCTCCAAGCAGCTCTCGCCTTCACTTTTCTCTGCCTCCTGTCAGTGTCCTTTCTCTCCTTCCAGTCTCATCAGTTTTCCCCAGACTCTGATGCTAAAGGCTGTGGGTTCAGTGGCACCTCACCCTGACTCAGGCAGCCTCCCGGGTTCATTTTCTAATTCAGTGGGCAAACTCCTCCCCTGCCAGCCCCAGGATTTAACTCGAACAATTTCCAGACTCTGAGAGAACAGACTCATTCTGCAGCAGTGGTTCTGAGAGTGAATCCATCTTCCTTCAGCATCCCCATCCCTGTCTAGCAGAAGGAAACACTGAACTTCTATGCTGGACGCCCATATCCAGGTCCTCAGTGATTAGCTGCCTTCCTGCCCTACTCCCTCGTCCATCATTCCTTTCCCCTGAGGAGAAAGCCTACCATGTCCAGAAGATTCTCCACTGTCTGGGCCCAGAACTGTCAGTTCTTCAAAGCCTGACTTAGAAAGACCACAGAGAAGCCAATTTCAGAGAAGTAGTCAAAGGCCACAAGTCCTAAATCATAAAACCAGATTCTCTATCACGTATATGTGAATACCCCACATCAAGCTTAGCCTGGCCACTGAGACACTGTGTTTCACCCTGCGTCAGCTCACAGCCTGGCTCGCAGGGTTCCTGGATGCATCCTCCCCATCTGATAACATTCTCTCGAGCAACTCAGCTGGTGCTGCTGTAACCCATGCAAATGGAGCCCGGAGCAGGTGCCATTCGCCCTACACCTTGGAGATCAATGCAAGAGCTTTTAAACCTCTGTGACTGTGTTACGGAGCCCAGACACAAACCACAGCCCCAGACGTCTGGATAAGATGCTGGTGACGTCGAGCCAAGAGAGCCCTTAGAGATCAGTAATGTCAGGAGGAAAATGCAGGAATAGCAAGCCACACCACCTGGCCCATGGCTCCGTCTGAGTCTGGGGTATCTGTGTGGACACATGGATGTGGACTGGGGCGTACAGAAACCCACAGCCCGTGGTAAAGTGCAGCCGCTCTCCAGGAACCGGCTGTTCTCGGAAGCTCTGGCAGCACTCAGGGACCCAGAGTACTGGAGATGCCCCCATTCCCTGGAGATGATGAGAAGAACTTTTCAATTCCCATGACTGTGTTATGAGGCCCAGGAAGAGCTTCCCACCCGCTCACCTCCTCAGGCCGGCTCAGCACGTGTCCCTCAGGGCCAGTGATGCCCAGGTCCAGGATTCTCTGCTGCTCCTGCAATGTTTAAGGAAGGCGAGGCTGAGGGTGAGTGGACCGCGGGCAGCCAGGTCTCACTTACTCCCGCGGGGCAGACCAACACCACAGCTCAGCTCTCAGCCCGAGGCCCCGGGAGAAGAGAAGGGTTCAAGGTCTGATTTTGGGTCCCCCCCCACACTAAGTTGAAGGGGCTCAATTTTAGCCTCTCCAAAATAGCTGTGCTCCCTGGGGTCACGGCCATTCTGCCAGCCCAACGCTAGAGGGGTAATGGCCTGTGTGGCCAAGAAGGCCCCAGGTTGGAGATGCTGCACAGAGAGAAATGACTCCTGGGGAAGGGAACAGAGTACAGACCAGGACACGCTGAAACTGAAATCTCACATGTTGGTGAGATTCTGAGCTCAGGAGCGGCCCGAGCAGGGCAGAGGGAGCCCCCCCACCCCCCCGGGAAGTGGAGGATGGAGCACCTCTGTAGATACTGAGCCTGGCCATGCAGGTCTGAAGGCTGGTGCCCAGGCCTGGTGATGCAACAGCGCTGGGCGGCCACCAGGGCTGCAGCCAGTGGTGTTTGGTGGGGTCCATATGGTGCCAGGGATTCAAGACAACCAAGGCGTCTGCACTCCAGGCATGGGTGCTAACCCTGGGCACTGCCTCCCAGAGACTCTGAGCCCTTGCTTTTTCCCTGCAGATCACAAAGAAATGAGGAAGACAAGGCCATACCTCTGCAATGATGTCACCATTTTCTGCATGGACCTGGGCGATGGCACCGATATCCCGGATCACACTCAGGACTTCATAGATCTGAGAGAGAAGGAGGATGAGATCAAAGACAGGCATCCACGGATGTCCAGTCACAGTCCTGTCAGCCCCTGGGACCAGAAACAGCGCCACTGGGCTGTTTCTGCTGAGACAATAGCCAAGCCCCAAGGACTGCACAGAGTAGCACTAAACTTTCTAGCAAATAACGGGCAGCAGAACCAACAAGGACACAGATTAAAGGTGAGAAGCCGTGACCACAGTCAGATCAGTACTGAAGATATTCAGAACCATACACAAACTGTCCCCGGCAGAGCTGAGAGGCTGCTGGAGCAGTCCTAGGGACTGGGGCCAGGGCACACACACTCCCTAAAGCGAGAGTCACAGCAAGGACCTCATCCAGCAGCCATTTCCCATGAAGCTAAAGCACGGACAGCCACTTTCAAGCCAACAGCAGCGCGGACTGAATGCACCAGTGTCCCCAACCCTGTACCACACGCTGAACTTGTCTTACCTGGGAATCTGTCAACTGGAAGCGATCTTTGAAAGCCATGTACACCAGAAAGGAATTAACCCCTAAGGACAAAACAGAGATGGTGTGTGACCTCAAACAGATCCAGGTCAACCAAATAAGGCTAAAATGAAAAAGCAAGTTCTAAATACTATGAAGATGTGTTGAGGTAGAGAAAATGAGATGAAGACAGAATAATAAAGCTTGTGAAATAAAAACTAATTCATGTGACCATGAAGAAGGTGTACCCTTCCAATTTTTCTGTTAAAAACTATTGGAAAAATGAGTTGTCCATACATATTCCCAGGAGCTTAATTCACAATGCTAAGAGGAGGACAGATGAAAGGCTACACAAAATGTGGTCGATACACACAATAGAACACTTTAACCTTAAAAATGAAGAAATTTCTGATACATGCTAACCACAGGGATACACCCAGACTGAGGGCATTATGCTAAATAAAATCACTTCAAAAGGACAAATTTGTCAGTCATCTAAGTAGAGGTCCACTTACATGTGCTGTTCATAAAGACAAAATATAGAAGAGAGACTTTAAGGAACTGGGGGAATAACAGAATAGGTGATAGCTATCACTTACCAGATGCAGTTTCGGATTCAAAAGGTAAGTTCAGATAAATGTGGGTAACAATTAGGCAACAATGTGAATGTGCTTAATGCCAGTGAACTCCAAGCTTAAAAATGATTAAGGGAATGGGGGGATGATGAGACAGACTAGAAGTAGCAAAAAAAAGCAATGATGGAGGATCTTGGAGACTTTGGTGGTGCTTAAGTGTGCTTATTATGTACACCAAAAACATAAATGCCAACACTATTGTAAGCCTGTGACAAAAACTGTAATAAGAAATTTTCAGTTTTAAATGAAATAAAACAAAAGCAGAAGGGTTGGACAGCTAGCACAGTGAGTAAAGTGCTTGCTTTGTAAGCAGCCAACTCTGGTTCAATCCCAGAACTGTAAATATTATCCCCTAAGCACTCTCAGGAATGATCTCTGAGCACAGTGGTGTGGCCCAAAAAACAAAAAATAAATATTATAAAAGTGAAAATAAAAACGAAAGAAATTTACTCTTCCAGAGACTGGAGAGATGGAAAAGGGGGTTAAGATGCTTGCCTTATATGCAGCTGTCCCTGGGTCAATTGTGGCTGACCCTGGATCACTGCACAAAGTCTCCCAAATACCAAGTAGCAATCCCTGAGGAGTGACCCAGAAGTAAGCCCTGAACACAGCTAGATGTGATCGGAAAAATTTAAATAAATACTGAAAATAAAAGCAAAAAAAAAATCTATCAATATAATGCACTGTGTGGATCAAAAAATCAATATCATTGAATTGATTATAGAACATGTATTTAATAAACTCCCATGCATGATTATTAGATCTAAAAATTTAAAAGTACCTATGCTAAAAAGAAACTTAGCATTACTTTCAGATGAAGTGATTATTGAAAAAAGAAACTTCGGTGTAATATAAAATTCTGAAAATTAATAAAGAGCTAAATATTTTAATGCAAAACAACTCTATAAAGAAATAACTTCCTTTATTTTTCTACTTCTCTCCCCCACCATTTTTTAAAACTGATTTATCATCAACTTACAATATCACAGACTTTCATGGGTATAGTTTAAATAAGGCAATAATTTTACAACAGCAAAAATAAACTCCAAAATATTTTCCAATGTTAAGATATTCACAATGGCATCATAAATCAAAGATAACCTAGAAATATAGAGAGAGTAAAAGCACACAAAACACATAAAAAAGGGAGTAAAATTTACATTGTACTGTATTTTACTATAGTTAAAGGGTAAAAACACAGCTGCCCTAGTTCCCAAAGTTGTGACTTTCACAAGAGAATGAATTTACTGTGGATGATGTATAACAAATGTCTTTTTTTAGTAAACATTCCATCCTCCACACTGACTTCCAAAAACACTTTTAAATTAGGGACGGTCCATTAGAGCAACCAGCAAATGTTGTGACTCTAGTCCGGGCATTTTAGAGTTTATCTCAGAGTCACCAGACCAAACATCCCTGGCCACCATCCATCACAAAAGAAAACAATTGTACTGGCAACCTTCTGGCCTCAGAGCTTAATTCAAGCCACCTGGGGGTGCTGGGTGTCGTCTAAATTCAGTATTTCAGAATAGCCTGCCCCCACCGTCTCAGAACATTGCTACGATGCCGCTCCTAGCTGACAGGACTAAATTCATTACATGTTTCCAAAGTGAAGTTCCATTTGAGTCCCCACATTCTCAAGCATGAGAAGGGTCAGGGTTATCTGTTTTCTGTTACGTGGCTCCTTCATGGTGGAATGATTCAGGTTATCTAGTCCAATGCCCTTGTGTGAGTGATTTTCAAATTTGAGACTCACAAAAGTATAAATGACTTGCCCCAGGCCAGACAGCTGGTATGAGGAAGAGCAGCCAAACAGCCCATGATTCTGGACTTTTCACTCCAGCTTTTCTACTTTGCCTATGGATAGCTCTCATAGCCATGCCTAGAAATTTTCCACCTGCCCTTTTATTGCCAGCTCATGGGCGTATCCTTCTGAGTTTAGAAATGCCAGATCCCAAAAAAATAGGTTTCTCCCTGTAGGTTAAAATCCACTGGGGTGGGGGGGGGGGGGGGGAGGGCACTGGAGCAATAGCACAGCGGGTAGGGTGTTTGTCTTGCATGCGGTCAACCCAGGTTCGATTCTCAGGATTCCATATGGTCCACGAGCACCGCCAGGGAGTAATTCCTGAATGCATGAGCCAGGAGTAACCCCTGTGCATCGCCAGGTGTGACTCAAAATGGAAACAAAAAAATCCAATGAGGTCAACATGTGACCCCAGGAATCTAGTCTCCCAGAATTTTGTGGTTTGGCAATGTGACTAAATCTCTCAGGTTCAAGAGGACGAAGATTCAAAACACACTGAAGTCATCAAGTCTCCAGCAGCTTCGTGAAAAAGCTTCAGAACCCAACCCCTAGAATCTTGTTCCCTGAAATAAGTCTTGGGACAAAACAGACACCTCAAGTTATCTTGGAGTCCCACTACCCTCAAATGCTGTTCTTTTCTGGTTTGCAGGAAGAGGCTGCCAAGGGCCTCTGCGCATTCTTAAGCCTACCCAGAATTCCCTCTGGGATACGCATTATTATTCTTTGGGAGCAATTACTCCCAGAGTCTTAACTCTCCGGCCTGGCCCGAGCACACAGTTCTCTTTAACCACCACACTGTAAACAGTGGTTGCATAAGAATAAGTCTCCCTGAGAGAACACAGGGGATTGCCCTGCCACAGAGACAGGGGGGATGGGGGGATGGGGGTGGGAGGGATATTATCCATGGTGGTGGAAAATGGGCACTGGTGGAGGGATGGGTATCTGATCATTGTATAATTGAAACCAAAGCACAAAAAATTGTAAATCTACAACTTTAAAAAAAAAATACAATAAAGGGAAAAAAAAAAGAAAAAAAAAAAAAGAATAAGTCTCCCTAATAAACTCAGGTTCTCAGGGTTTCTGTTGATTTCTCACTGGGTTTGCTGCGGCCCAAGCCCTCTCTCCCTGTGGGCACAGGGGTGAGGCGTGACTGGATCTTGAAGCACTGCTCAGATCTTTTCTTCATAGAGCAGTGCCGACTCCTATACTAGAATGGGAATGTCCCTGGTGGAAATGAGGTCAGCATAACCTACCATGGTCCTTCACCAGGGCCTCCATCTCCTCCTGGATGCCCTTATGCCACTCGGTGATGTCCACGTGCAGAGAGTAGTCACAGCAGGACTTGCTGTCGGCCCATTCCCTCCACTGGTCAAAGGCAGCCTGCAGGCTTGTCCCAGGCTCCGGAATGACGTGGTCAACTAGAAAGGAACAGACATTCGCATCATCAGTAGGAGGCTCAAGCACCAGGGACTGGGAACTGCCTCCCCAATTCAACCCTCAGGAAGGCTTCCTGGGTCCAAAACCAAGATAGTGACATCTACAATCAGCTTCTTCAAAACCCACTTAAATCCAGCTGCTGGCCTAAGAGGGACAAAGCAGGAACTTGGCATGGCCCGCCCGCCCCGGTGAAACCAGGCATGCAGTGCCCCGATCTGATTTCCCCGCCCAGAATCCCTGAATGTACACCCTTTCATGGACAATGGGTCCTTCTGGACAAAGGCCGTGTCAAATGGCTGGTCGGAGCTTTCAAGCCCTTTCATGGCATCCAGGGCTGCTTGTGAGATGCCCTTCCACCAGATGGAAGGGAACTTGAAGACGCTGGCCCCAGGCCATGCAGACGGGCCTTTTCAAAGGTCCCAGCCTATCCACTCTCTCATCACCACTCATATTTCGGCAGCATAATACCACTTTGTAATTCAAGGGTAATCTTTCATCTTAAAAGTTCAAAGTGTTTTTTTAAAACGGTGGCTATTGTTACATTATTATTGAGCGAGGTTAATGGGGAAGACAGAGAACTCTGGACTCAGGCTGACCTGAAACTGCTCCGCTACTTAACAGCCAGGTACTGTTGACTAAGCTACTTAATCTCCACTACCCTAAGGTTCTGTGTTGGTTTAAAATGAGAATACTAGGGACATTTGTTATGGGGATTACAAGCAATGGCGCATCTATCAACCTTATGCTACTCCTCCCTTCAAATGCTCTGATGTTTTTCATATTTTTCAGACAGAGGAAAATCTCTGGCAAAGTCTCCATGGTCGTGGCCAGCTTGGTTCTTGCCTCCCTGCCCCTATGACAATAACCATGAATCACGGTTCTCTCACATGCTGCTCTCTAACCACACTGCAACATCAGCCTGCAAAAACCTGCAAAATCCCTCCTGCATTTACACATGCTTTTGCTTTTATCCACTGAGGTCTTGAAGCAGTCATCTGACTTCTGCAATGATAGAAGGTTGACCAGAAGTACGGTGGTCCCACAGCAAAGATACTACAGGATGCATCAAATTGCATCAAATAAATTGCAACAAATGAGATAAATTGTCCCAGGTTGCATCAAATATATGCAAGAAATGAGATAAACCCCTGGACTCTTGACTCCTAACATGACATGAATCATTCTTTGAAATAAAGCATTAGATTTTCTGCACCCAGGTAAGCATTTCTCAGCGAAGAAAATGCCAGTGCTGGCAATAATAGTGGGCTCAGATTTCTGAAATGGAACAAATCATGCAGACGCAGCTAAATTGCAATGAGCTGAGCTTGGCTTTGTGTACCTCAAAAATACGGATGTCTAAGCTGAAATTTCTCTTGCAAATGTTCATTTGGGGTGGGGGATGGGAGGCAGGTCTCCTGCGTAGTGTTGAAGAGGTTCAGGGGCCCCTCACCGCAATCTTTGACCAACCAACGTGGCAACTGAGTACAAAGGATGGAGGATGCAGGGCTGCTCGGGCCCTGGGGTGCTGGATTTACAGGATCACCCTGGAAGCATATGGGGAGACTTCATGGCTGCACCATGGGATGCTGAGGGGATTGTATATGCCGGGGAATGAAGTGGGGTTGGCCTGATGCAAGGCAAGAGCCTGAACTATGTCTATGTACTATGTCTCTGGTCACAAAACTTAACTTGTAAGTAGAAGTATATGTAATTTAATGCGCACACACAGAGATCATATATATATACATATATACATAACATTAACTAGGGAAAGCAATAAGGATAAACCCTTCTAAAGCAATCCTGCCCCTACCCAGACAGAAGAAAGGAAAAAGATACAGACAAAGATGATAACAAGGACAGTAACACTGATGAGGAAAAAACTATAAAATGACACCTTGTAGTCCTTACAGGAGAGACAGAAACTCCCCTCATCCCCTCACTACTTACCAGGCCACTCACTTCATCTCCTCTTACCACCTCCCCACCCCAAGTCTCCTTTCAGAAGCAGTCAGAGGATCTCCTCAAACTTTTCATCAGTTCCTGACTCTTGGCTGCTCAAGTCCTTGGTTTATCTCTCCTCCCCTGGTTCCTCACTCTCTCAGCCCCTACCCCCGCTCACCTCTCCCAGGCCACCTCAGCAGTTCTCATTCTCTGACCTGCCCAACTCTGCCACAAGCTGTCCCACCTCTGTGGAAATCCGTACTCTTGGTGCCTGACTAGGGCACTTGCTTCTCCTGCTCATCCTTAACCAACCCAGGATTACGTCACCATGGGCAGCAGCTTCTGCAGCAACTCCCTTTAGTCTGCTATCTGCCTCTGACACTGGGATGTGAACTCCCCCGGAACCCTAAGGAAGTGCTTAATAAATATTTTCCGTGAATGAGGTGATGTTCCCATCCAGCTAACATTCCGCCCTGCAAGATCACATCAAACACAGAAGGAGCTCTTCTACCACATTTTCCTTCTCAGCCCCAAAAGTGTGCAGGACCATCCCATGCAACCAATACTCCTCAAACTTCGGGGTGCTTAAGAACTACCCAAGAACACACCAAAGTATCCTGGAATGCATCACTGCAGCTTGCCAGTACTGGAGAATATGCATCTTACTATGCCCCCTTGGGCCTGATGATTCTTCCATGAGCCACTTTCTGCATCACTCATTGCATGCAAGTCTTTTGTCACGCATCTCTGAGGTCCCTCCATGCTGTCATGTCTGTTTTACCAAGAGGGTCCCATTCACTACACAGCCACAGTATTTCTAACAAATAGTATCTGTTTCCCAGTTCTGCAATAATATGGCTTCTGTGAATATCCCAAAACAGCTCCTGGAGTTAGACATTCTTGACCAGGAATGCAAAGCTTGAGCTGAGGGCTTCAGAGAAACAAGCATGTCTCTCTCTCCTCAGAGCTAATGACACTGTGAAACGTGTCGGTGAAAAGCTCGGCATGTTTTCCCACAGTCCTCTCTCCACAGCAGCTCTCCTGGGAAGAGCTGCTCCCAGGAGCAGGGCAGAATGTTACAGTCACTTCCGGAGGCAGCAGCATGTCCTAAGGACTCATGCCTGCTACTGGGATATAAAGAAACATCGTGGTGGAATAACAAACAGTCAGAGGCACTAGAAACCAAGAACAGGAGAACTGGTGTTCAGTAGGAAACATGCCACTCCTGGGGGGGATGGGGGGAGGGAACTGTGGGGGCTGAGGGATGGTGGGTGGATGCCTATGGCAATGCCTATGGCGGAGGGAAGCGTTCAGCTCGGAGTATTATATATTCAGCAACAGTACTGTACACCACTGTGAAAAAAAAAACTTTACATATAGTATATTAATATAAATAAATATAAAATATATAAATATATAAGTACATAAAATTATACATATAAATTATATGCATATATAAATTTATTTTATATATAAAGTGCCTCTCATAGAAGCAGACTGATGAGTCGGAGGCAAATAGGAGTGAGGTGGGGGACTGGTGGAGGGAAGTGGGCACTGGTAAAGAGATCGGTGTTAAAACATTGTATTTCTGGGGGCTAGAGCGATAGCACAGCGGGTAGGGCATTTGCCTTTCATGTGGCTGACCCAGGTTCAATTCCCAACATCCCATATGGTCCCCCAAGCACTGCCAGGAGTAACTCCTGAGTGCATGAGGCAGGAATAATTCCTGTGCATCGCTGGGTGATGACCCAAAAAGGAAAAAAAAAATTGTATGTCTGAAACCCAGTCATGAATAACTTTGCAACTTCACAGTGACTAAATTAATTAAAAATTTTTTAAAGATAAAGTAAAATAAAACACACCCATAAAAGGGCTTATGCCTGAAAACAATGTACAGTGACCTCATACACTTTTCCCCAACTTCCCTAAAAGCCTGCTGTATGTCCTGTTATCAGTGCCTCCCCACTTATGCGATGCCCTCGGGACCATGCGGTGATAGGTTTTGAGGTCTATGAGCTCCGAACTCAGGCCAAATCTGCCTCTGAGCACCCTTGCTGTCCATTCTCTGGGCCCTTCATGTCTTTGTAAAAAGCAGGTCAAGAAGAACCTACTGTGCAGGGCTGCAGGAAACTAAGACCAGGAGAGAAAGCAGCTGGCAAGACGCCATACAACACAGAACTTTTGGTCCTCAAGATGAATGACTAAAACCCTTTCTTGGTTTCCGGGACAGGCCTGGGAACCTGGTTGATTGAGGGTGCTGAGCGCATGTCCTTGTACACTGCCTGGAACTGAGGTGCTACAGCCATCAGTCAAAGTGCTATCACCCAAAAGACATCAGCCATTTCAAAAGGACTTTTACTATTTCTCTTCAAATTGTAAAAATAAATAAATAAATAAATAAACCACCTATATTGGGTGGGGCGGGTAACTCACAGGCCACAATTTAAGTCATCTGGTCAGTGGATCATGGATCACGGTCCTCCCGCTGTTCATCGATTTGCTCGAGCGGGCCCAGTAACGTCTCCATTGTGAGACTTGTTGTTACTGTGTTTAGCATATCGAATACGTCGCGGGTAGTTTGCAGGCTCTGACGTGCGGGCGAGATACTCTCGGTAGCTTGCCAGGCTCTCCGAGAGGGGCGGAGGAATTGAACTCAGGTCAGCCCCGTTGGCCGCTTGTAAGGCAAACGCCCTACCACTGTGCTATCGCTGGTCAGTGGTTTTCATATAATAAGAGTTGGACAACCGTCAGCAAAACTTGTTTTAGGATATCACTTAAAGAGAAACCCTGTACCTGTACCCCTGTACCTGAGCAATTTCTCTCTCTCTCTCTCTCTCTCTCTCTCTCTCTCTCTCTCTCTCTCTCTCTCTCTCTCCCCTCCTTCCATGACCCATGCCATTCCCAACACTAACCAAACACTCATTTGCTCTCTGTCCCTATGAATTTGCCTGTTTTGGCATTTCACGTAAATGGAAGATCTTCCTTTGTTCACTTAGCCTATTTCCAAAGTTCATCAGTGTTAAAGCATGAATCATCA